CGATGAAAATGTTGCTGCTGGTGATGATGGTGGAGGCGTTGGACCACTTGTTCAAGCCGAGGATGTGCCAGCCCAAGGGCATGTAATCGTGAACGGCATCGAGCTTCACTTGGGTTGCACCCTCAGCACCCTTAGAACGGCATGCCAAGTCCTTGGGATAGGCAAGTCAGGTGGCAAGAAGACTGTCCTCCAGAGGATAGAGCAGCACCTGAAGACGCAGGAGCTGCTGCAGCAACACGAGTTCCAGACAGATGGGCGTGAGCCGTTGCGTGAGCAAAAGTTCGTGGAAGCACCCACGGCTGAGGAGCAGAGGCGCCACGAGTTGAGTCACATGCCTTATGCTGACTGGTGCCCGCATTGCGTGAGGTTCAGAGCTAAAGCAGATAAGCATGTGCGTGCAAAGCCAGATGTGCGTGAGGATTCCGTGTGCTGCATGGATTTTGCATATACTGGTAGGCGCACTCCTGCCCAGTTTGAAGGTCACACGCAAGAGAAACTTGTGGTGCTGGTGTTGAAGGATTCCCACACTGGTGCAGTCCATGCCATTCCGACACCTGCCAAGGGTGGCACAATCGCTTTCAAGTACCTTGTTGCCGAAACTTGCAGATTCTTGAACTACTGTGGCCACCAAACATGCACCATAAGGTCAGACTCAGAGCCGGCCTGCCTGGCCCTGCAACGAGGCATCAAGGCCTTCCGCAGCAAAATGGGCCTCCAGACCCATCTTGAGCAGACGGAGGCGAGTGATCATCAGGGCAACGAGGCCGAGCAGAGCATAGACGGCATCAGACAATTGGCAGGATGCATCTTGGACCAATTCGAAGAGCGGGCAGAGACCACCATCGGGTCCAGCCACCCGATGCATGCCTATGCTTGGCGCCACGCCGCGTGGTTGCACATGCGGATGTCTAGGCAAAATGATCTAAGTGCTTTTCACGTGATAAATGGGCGGCCGTACCTAGGCAAATTGGTGTGTTTTGGGGAGACAGTGTTTGCCCGTGTCAAAAGTTCCATAAAAGGAAAAGCTAGATGGTGCAAAATGCTTTGGCTAGGGAAACTTCCGGTTTCAGACTTGCATTTTGGAGTCACTGAAGGGGGTTACATGCTATCTTCCAGATCCATCCGCAGGTTGCCTAAGCAATATCTAGCGACAATGTGTGCCAGTCTGGTAGACATGCCGTGGACACAGGCGTCGTTCCTTGCAGGACAAGTTGGCCAAGCCCGCAAACAGAAGACTCAGGCAGAGGCGTTGAGCGCAGGCGGGGAAGAGGCAGGAGAGGCGGCACATGAGCAAGTGGCCGAAGTGCCGTCGCAGCAGGGAGCATCAGAGCGTCCCATGCCCTTTCCAGATCACTTGTTGCCTGACGATGCCATGCTTTCGGAGCTTGTGCCACCGCCACCACGCATGCCAGCTGCATACACACCTGAGCCGCCTACGCCCATGAGCTCAACACCGCTTCAGCCGCCACAGGCTGAAACACCAATAGGGGTCGCCCCCCTAGATTCTCCTATGGCGAGTATGGACCAAGCAGAGGACATGTTGCCACCAGGAGTCGTGAGGCATGCCGCCGAGCACGCAGGCGGGGATGCACCAGCCCGGAAGAAGCTGAGGCTTGATGCTTTGCAAGTTAGTGCACATGATGCAGAAATGTTCCATCTTGATGAATCCATTGAGTTGGTAGACGAGAGTGCAGAGCAATTTCTTGATTGCGAAGACCAGGATGACAATCAAAGTGAGTGGGCAGAACAGCCTGGTTCTGACCTTGACATCCCTTCAATCTTGATCAAGCCTTTCAGCGAAATCGAGCCACAGTGCAGTGCATCTGAGCAAGCAGAAATTGATGCTGCAGCGGACGCATTTGAACTTGCACGCCTCCTGGGCAGCAGTGTGCTTGAGCAAATGCAATCGTGGCAGCCAGGCCACAGGACGTTGTCATCCAAGTATGTACGCAGCTGGCGTGCTAAAACTTTAGGTGGCGAAAAGAAGTGGCTGAGGAGATCCAGGTTAGTCGCAAGAGAGTTTGCACATTTGGATCCAGAGAGACAGCATCTCTTTGCCCCGACCACGACACAATGCATGCTGCGCATCATACCGGCCCTCTTCGTTCGACACTTCCACGAAGGATGGGCACTGATGAGCCTTGACGTTTCAGACGCTTTTCTCCAATGCAAGCAAGAGCATGAAACCCTGACCAAAGTGAATGGCCAGTGGTTCAGGCTACTACGCATGCTGCCGGGGCAGAGAGACGGGTCAGCTACCTGGTTTCGGGATTTCATGCAGGAAATCAAAACAGCTGTTGAGGCAGAGCCGCTTGCCGAACAGCCTGTCTTGTTCAGAATTCCAAAGCCAGCCGGGGCAGGCATGGTGCACGTCGACGACATGCTGTGCACAGGACCTGTGAAACGCTTGGAGGACCTAGAGAGGCACCTGAAAAGCAAATTCAAAGTTTCGGTTGATTGGATCCGTTCAGTAGGAGAAGAAGTAACTTTTCTGAAGAGGCGCCACGTCCTTGTGAGCCCTGAGCTTTTGGTTGTAGAGCCTGACGTTAAGTACTTGGACAAACTTCTTCAAGTAACGGGTTTAGCAGGTGCAAAGGCGAGGTCCAAGGCAGCACCGTTCCCAACTGGGGGATTGCCAACCGATTCTGAGCCAGACCCAGAGCTTGATCCGGAAACGGCGACGCGCTACAGATCTGCCTTGGGGATACTCATGTATCTGAGCGTTGATTTGCTGGCATCTCAGTTCGGCATCCGGTATCTCGCGACCCGTGCACACAAGCCTACGCAAGGGTGCTGGAAACTGCTCAGGCACCTCACGAGCTATGTGAGTTCCCATCGGTCACATGTGATCGGGCTTTCAAAGCCAACCTTGGGAAAGGGGCTGGTGTGCAACCGTGTGTCTGAGCACAAAACCTCAGTGCTCGAAATGTTCTCAGACAGCGACTGGAGTGGAGACAAACGCACACGCCGCAGCGTGTCCGCTTGTTGCGTGGTATGGGATGGCCAACTGCTGTATTCAAGCTCTCACACGCAAAAGGTTATAAGTCTGTCATCGTGTGAAGCCGAGTATAACTCGCTTGTTGCAGGCAGCGCCACCGCCATCCTGTTGCAAAACTGCATATGCCACGTGTGCCCAGACCTTGATGTGAAGTTGTCGTGCCTATGCGACAATGCTGCCGCCAGATCCCTCGGCAATCGTCAGGGGGTAGGACGAACGCGGCACATAGACGGGAAGTTGCTGTGGCTGCAGCAAAAGACTCAGGAGAAACTCCTTGAGGTGATTCCCGTGGGCACGGGAGACAATGTGTCGGATTTGCCGACGAAAGCACTTAAGCCTGAGAGGATTGAGTTCCTGCTTGGAAGGCTGAACGTGCGCTGCAAGGACAATGGGTTCCAAGTGGTCAGTGAATCTGAGCTGCTTGATCACGAATCGCGACGGAAGATTTGCAGAGTAGTCAAGAAGGGATCAGTTAACGTGCAACAAGTTCTTCAGGTTCTTGCGTTAATCCTTCAGCTTGATAGCATCGCTGGTGTCAACCCAGATGAGCCCAATACCAGTGCTGACGCCTTGGGCCAGAACACTAGCGATGAGGCTGTTGGTGGCTACGAGAGCATGCTGTGGAGTTTTCTTGAAAGAGTGCTACATGCGATTTTCTTGATCCATGACTTCATGGTTAATCACCCGCAGGCGAGCCTGATGCTTGCACAAAGCACAATCCTTGTGATGCTATGCATCTGTTTCTGCTGCAGACGAAGCAGAGCGTCGCAACTTCGTGAGACTGCTGAAGCAGGAGCAGCAAGTGCACCCACGGTGAGCGTGCATATAAAGGTTGTTGGGGTTTCGGTTCCGGGGGATAGGATAGGTCCCGAACCCGCCGAGATCCCTAAGTCAGACCCGAGCCTTAACTTGCAGCCACAGGCAACCGAAGGAGACACAAGTGACGATGATGAACCGGACCCGACAGCTGCACCGTCATCTGCAGTGCCGGGTACTACGCAGCCGATCCTTGAGCAGTGCGATGCATCACCAGAAGCACCAGCCAGGGACCCGCAAGGGCATCGCATCGTGTTTGCGACAGCGAGCCGTGGATATGCTTTCCACAGTGTGCGAGAATGCCCTAAACTGAAGTGTGCCAAGCAAGTGGTAAGGTACAGCAGGCGTGAAGCCATGAGGCGAGGCTATCAGCCATGCAAGGTGTGTGGAGGATGATCCAGTGTTTTCATTCCACTTGGAAATGTTCATGATGCTGCGCAGTGGTCGCATGTATATAGCTTTATGTACATAGCTTGTGATGCTCATGAAACTTCACTTGCCAGTCCGTGTGGACCTTGAAATCCAGCAATCTCTCTACCGCTTTGCCACACCAATTTGGTGTCAATCTCGTTGTGACAACCCGACATCGACTGTGATGGGTGTGGAGCACCCTGAACCCGCAGAGGGCAATCGTGCCCTGATGGTAACTAGGCCATCTTAATCTTGGACGAGATCTTGAAAAGACCTTGTGTGCTTGCGCTTGGGCCATACAAGCATCTACATCTCTGTCCCTACCAGCCGGTGGGAAGAGATTCTGCATAGGCCGTAGCTGTACAGTGCTGCGTAGTGGAAGCTAAGCCAAAGACCTTCGAGGCAGAGCTTAGAAGACGCCAAGACTTTTGGAGTGCAATCCTGAACTAAGTATGTTGTTGTTTCCTGTGGGGCATCGGCAAATGTGAAGTAGACGAAGCAAGCATTCCGCCAGCTCAATGCAGCATCGAGGCGGGGTGTTGAACATTTTGCCGTATCGAAAGTCGCCATTTTATCATGTGATTTGCTTTGCAGTATTTCATGCACTCACATGTTTCACTTTGAGATCGAGTTGCATCTGCAGGCGTCTTTGAGAGTTCAAAACATTTTCATTCCAGCAGATACGCGGCCGCGGGCTTGGAGTACCAGCCCCGGCCCAGGTAGGGGAGCTTCCGGAGCAGAGCTTGCCGGTCGTCGCAGTGCAAGTCCACGTAGGTCAAATCTGCCAGGTGCCCTTCCCGTGTGTGCTCCACAGAATCGAGTGGGCTGAAGACGGGCAGGGGGAAGGTCGCGTAGGCCAGGGCATTCTTCCGGCAGACTTTCCGGCAGCGCACCACGTCCACGCCCCAGCAGACCCGCTCGGGGTCGCACTTGGCAAGCTTGCAGACGAGCGGCGGCGGGCGCGGGCTCTGCACGTAGGCCTCGTGGACGCTGCGGCAGACGCGGCTCTCCAGGCAAGCCGTTCGGGAGGACTCCAGCAGCGTTTTGGTGCGGTCGCACTCCAGGCACAGGGCCTGCAGCACTTGCTCCTGGCCCTCCACAGCCTGGTGCACGGGGACCACGTGGTCGAACTCACAAAAGCCCAGCTCGATGGGTGCGGAGCAGAGCTTGCACAGGTGGTTCTGCTCCTCCAAAATGTGGTCCCGGCTCCCGCAGGCGTCCAGGCGCCTCGCTTTGAGGAGGTGCTGGAAGGCCTCGGTGGCGGCGCCCGCCAGGCGCTGGCCCCGGTACTCCAGCCCCAGCTGCTGCATCCAGGCCTGGAGCTTCTCGGCGTCCTCGGCATACTGCGTGACGACGCAGTCGGGGGCGTCCTTGACGCGGAGGCGGCACAGGGAGCGCATGGTCACCTTGGGCTGGTGGCCCTGTGCGAGCAGCGTGGCCCGGACCTTTCGCAGGTCCTCGGCCCAGAAGTGGCCCGACTCGATGCGGCCAGCCCAGGGCCGCCACTCGGAGAAGGGCGGCGCCGTGTGGACTCCTTGCGGTTTTTCCGGTAGAGGCCCTCGTTGCGCGGGGCGTCGTCGCAGTGCGAGACCGCCCGGGCCGACTTGTAAAAGTAGGCGTGCCCCTGGTAGCAGGTGAAGGCCACGGCCTTGTTCTCCTTGACGGGCGGCTGGTAGGCGTCGATGAGCTGGCCGCAGCAGCTGACGAAGAACATGGGAGCGCCGTGCCAGGCGCAGAACTCTCGAACCTCCAGCGCAGTGATGCCCCGCTCCTCCCAGCCCTTGTCGCAGATGGCGTCGAAGTCACTCAGGACCTCGGGCAGGGGGAGCTGCAGGAGCTCCGCCAGCTGCCGGGCCACGCAGAGCCGGTCGTCTCTCGCTTCGAAGGCGCTGGGGAGGATCTCGGAGCCGTTGTACAGCTGGTAGCTGATTTCCTGCAGCGCGCCCATGGGCTGCCGCAGGGCGACCTCCGCCTGCGCCCGGTTGTCGATGGCCTGCAGCGTCTGGTTGGAGAAGGCCCAGTCCCGGTTGGCGTCGTAGCGGTAGGTCTCCTGGCTGAGCTCCATGAGCTGCGCCAGCGCGGCTGCCTTCACGCGGGCGTGGGCCTGCGCGTCGCTGAGGCCGCTGGACTGGTGGGAGAGACTGCCGTTGACCATGGTCACGGGCAGGAAGTCCTCGCGCATGTGGGCTCGCCCGGCGTTGCGCCCACGCTGGCGGGTGCCCGTGATGCGGACGGGGACGTGGGCCAGCCACTCCGTGTACTTGTCGCGGAAGAAGCATTTCCCGAGCTTGGTGAGGTGGTAGCTGCCGTCGGGCTGCAGCGAGCGCACGGGCTTCTTGAGGCCCGAGCGCAGGAGGATGTAACACGGATCAGGGGCTGCTGCTCGTCGAATTGTCTGGAGGGGGGGCGACCACCCACGAGGCCGTAGTAGAACTGGCCCGCTCTGGTGAGCTCGCCGTTGGGGCGGGACAAGAGGACCTCCCGGAGGCCGTTGTTGGCGAGCGGGAGCCGCTGCGAGCCCTGGGCGTTCGTCCTCGCTCTGACGCCGCCCTGGGCCGCTCGGCGGATGGCTTCTCGTTGCTGTGCCCAACTAGACATGTTTTTCTAGGGCGGGGAGTCGGCGGTCTGGGCGGATGAACGCGTCAAGCCTAGACCAGCAGCCGCTTGACCATGCCCTCGTCCTCGACGTCCTCCAGCTTGCTCCGGAGGTCGGCCGGTGAGCCGGTCAAGGCCGGCGCCGCGTGCCAGGTCGCGGTTGCAGCGGTAGCGGGCCGTCGTGCACCGGACGGCGGGGCGCAGAAGCGCCTGCTCCAGGGCGTGGCGACGCGCCTGGGCGGGAGACATCCTCTCCACGGTGATCTGCAGGGCCCGGAGCTCGCGCTGCGGCAAGCGGAAGCCCTCGGCGAGCTTCTCAAAACACAGCTCCAGGAAGTTCTGGTGGAGCAAGTGCTGGAACACCACCGTGCGCGCAAACAGGGGAGAACAGCCGGCAGGACCCCAACAGCGCGAGCGCGTCCCGCGCCAGCGGCATGAATTCGTGGTTGTACGCGAGCGCCTCGAACATGCGCTCGGCCATGCGGCGGCGCTGGCAGAACTGGTCGTCGCGCTCGGCGATCGGCACGAGGAAGTCCACGACCATCCCCAGCACCCCGTCGGGCAGCACCTCGAACCCCCCCGCGGCGCGCAGACGCTTCGACGGCGCGAGCTCCTCGTTCATCCTAAAGGCCCTAAACCCTAAAAATCCCGAGAATGGCTGGTCTGCTTTCAGAAAGCTGCGCTGCCGGACGCTGGGTCTGTTTTTCAACGGCGGCCGGCAAGATGCTGGGCGAATGAACGAGGCCTGCCGCCGGGAAATGCTGCCAAAAAAAGGGCAGCGTTCTGTTCCTGCACAGGCCTCCGGCACCCAGGGATCGCCGTAAAAACGGGCAGCGTGTGGGGGCTCCCAGGCTCCCCAGCCTGCGCGAGCTTCACAGGAGGCGATGGGTTACGCATGGCCCCATCTGAACCCTAAGCGTCGGGTACCTCCTCCACTCGCTGGACCGCCGGGCCGCGACCCAGAGCCTCCCCCCGCAAGCGAGGTTCCTCAGCCCTGGGTTGCAGCTCAGCGTGCCCACTGGGATAGATAGGATAGACAACGACACGACGGCCACACCACGGCGACACGACGGCGACACGACGGCGACGACGCGGTTGGCTCAAGCCCGCGTGGGGCTCCGTGTACAGTTGGGTGTGCTTTTGCCCCTAAGCCCCCAAGCGGTATAAAAAAACTCCTTCGTGGTCCCGTGGCGTTGTTTTATATGGGGGTCAGAAGTCAGAAACCCTTAAAATGGCTAGGGGACGTTTTACATGGACGGCATGATTTCGCTCGGGTTGCTTGATTTTCTTGATATTTGGACATGCTCCGCGTACAGTTGCTTTGAAAAAACCCTAAACCTTAAAACCCCCTCTTTTGCCCCTAAACCCCAAAACGGATTAAAACACTCCTTGGTGGCCCGGTGGCATTGTTTTATCGAGGGGTCATATAGACCCTTAAAATGGCTGGGGTCGAGGGGTGCTCTGATTTTTGCATGGGCGCGGTTTTCATGTCAGTTATTTTGCATGGCATGCTGTTTGATGTTTTTGCGACCCCGCGCCGCGCCCGTCAAGGCACAGCGGGCACAGAGCAGGCAAAGAACACACAGAAGGTGCAGCCGACACAACACGGCGTCACATAGGAAGTGCTCGTGGAGCCTGGCTGGAAAGCGTGCGCCTCACTCTGTCGCTGCGGCGGGTTTCAGCAAGGGAGCCGCCTGCAGAACCGTAAAGCGCCCTGCGTTCCCCACTTGTCCGGGAACCCTGGGCCCTTTCTCGCAACCAGGCCCTCGTCGACATCCTCGTCGCCGCGGGCCGGGCTCCAGATATCAGGGTCTGTTCCAGGCGCGGGTTGGGGCTCCGAGGCAGCTAGGTTTGGACCGTTTTGCAAGGCTTCGAGGTTGCGGGTTCCGAGGCAGCAAGGCAGTGCCCTGAGCCCACGCCCTTCCCAACCCTTGCCGGGAACCGGGCCCGCCTTGTCGCTCAGGTCCGTTCTCCACCAACAACATCTTCTCAGGCGGGGGCCTCTTAGCGCAGGGGGTTTTCACAGGTAGTCGCTTGCAGTGCCAGTGTCGTGCAGTCGTCTAAAGTCCCAGACACACGGTCATGCTGCGGATTGTGTCTCGAGCAAGCGTCTGAGCGTCTCGAGCAAGCATGGCTTCAGCTGCCGAGTGGTACGCGCTGCTCCAGGAGCTGGGCACGCCCTGTGATGTGATCGAGTTGAGGTCTCAACCTGATCTTGACGCGATCCTTGACCTCGATGATGGCTCAGGGCTCAGCAGTTTCTTTAGCGCGGCTTTCCATGTTGTTCCACGCTTCGTCTGCTTTGCCAGGGTTGCTGTAAGCTTCGTTGGGCGTTGCTCCTGTAGCCGTGTGAACCCGATTGTTGATTTGAGCTGTTCTGTCGGGTAACAGCAGGTGCCACTGCGCTCTTCAACCGATTCCCGATAGGGTTTTGGACCAAATCTTGCATGAGTGCTAAATCCGCCTGCGCCTCGTGCATCGGCTCCTGAGGCACAAACGAATTGTATCCTCTTTGAGGCCGATCCTGTCGATCCCTTAGAGTTTCAAGGAACTGACCTCATCTCTCGACACGAAGGGATTGCGTGCTTTTGCAGCCTTAAGAGCGTTTGCAGTGTTGCCAAAACCGGTCCGAGGATCTCGGTACACTTGCTCGACGATTCTCCTGCGAGCCGCGACCTTGCCAGGACATCGGCCATGAGCCTGGCCTTTGCTCTTTTTCACGCTGGAGTGAGGGTCGCAGGATCGTCAGACGACGAAGGGTTCGCGTTGAGAGCTGCTGAACTTGAGACGGTGATGGGGCGGGGGCCGCGCTTGGCTGAAGTCTGTGCCAAGGCTCAGATGGCATCTTTGTGGCTTGGGTGCCCATGCCGACAGCCTCAGCGATCCCAGGCCTGGTCCAGTGCCGAGTTGCCTTGCGCGAAGCATGCCAGCACTGGAGAGTGTGCAGCGCTGTTTGTTTGTTCCGCAGCTTCCTTTGGCTTTTGAGGGTTTTAGGGCTTAAAGGGCCTTGGGGGTTTAGGGTTTAGGGTTTAGGGTAAAGGGCCTTAAGGAGTTCAAGGGGTCGGGGGCTTAGGGGGCTCATTGCCCTTAGGCGAAGATGTTTGTAGCTTGCCCGGGCCCCAGCTGGCCCGCCGCGCCGCCATGTGGCCTGCCTGCGAGAGGCCGAGAGTGCCGAGCCGGCAGGTCAAGGGTGCAAATGCAGATCTGGGGCTTGCGCGCAGCCCTCTGGTAGTGACTGCTGGAGGGGTGGGTTTTCTCGCCAAGTTGCTGTTGTCGCAGCTGCCGCCTAGGCGCCTTCCCATGCGACAGCTTAAGGGAGCCATCCGCTCTGCAGGACAGCAGATGTCGGACGAAGCCAAAAGCGTGCGTGTCGTGGAGCGACCAGAGAAGGCAATTATCAAGGCCTTCGTCGACAGCCCAGGTCCCTTTCCAAAAACAAGCCCCTCCTTTCTGGTCGTGAGTGGAGCGCAGGGAACCGGGAAGACCACCATGCTAAAGAGCCTGTTCGCGCAGTATCACGACGACGGCCGCTGGGTGCTGCCCGTGAGTCAAGAAATCGACCCGGGCGGCAAACTGGATCTCACGGATGTAGTGCAGCAGGCATGTAGAACACGGAACCTGCCGCAGTTCCTGCCAAGTTTCCAATTGATCCCAACCCTGCTGAGGACCCTGAGCGAGAAGGGCAGTCGCGAAAGTGGTGGCCCCCTCATCGTGTACCCGCAGTTGTCCACCAAAAACCGGGGCGCCCCTTTCACCGATGACCAGTGCGACGCGTTAGCGACAGAGATCGGAGCCTTCGGCCGAAAGCTGACGTACGACTACCCCCTGTGCAAGTTGGTTGTCGAGCTGTCCGTGTCCTTGATCGCCGACAAGATCCAGGAGCTGCCGGGTCAAATTCGGGCGTCCAGGGTGTTGCCTTGGTGCTGTAACAGCGGCTAGATGGTAGTCGGGAGCGCCATGTAGTAGACACCCTAAAGGATAAGTTCAACATGTCCCGGCTGGTGGTGGTGGACCCACTGCCTTGGAAGCGCCCCCTGGCTTTGTTGTGTGCTCTTTATGTTTTTGGTCTTGTCGCTTGGAGTTGCCGTCTGAGTGCAGGACCTCGCTGCCAAGTCGTGCAATAAGCCCGTTCCGAGGCTTCGTGGAGCTGGCCCTGGAAAAGCCGGAGATTGCCTCGTATCTCAAGATGGACGAGCTCAGCCGGCAGGAGATCCTCAAGTACTTCTACCTTCGGGCTGGCGGCAGCTTCCGCGAGCTGCAGCGGCTCCTTGAGGATGCGGCCAAGGCCGACGCCTCGGATGCGCAGGGCATCAAGGCCCAGATCGACCAGTGGTACGAGACGAAGATCGGGCCCATCAAGGACGTTCTGGCTGAGACGGAGGAGAACGAGCTTCAGCAGTTCATCCGGCGTCTCCTGGGACAGAAGCCCGAGTCCAAGTACCTGGACTACCTGAGGAAGGTGGCCGAGGCGGGCCCAAAAGGTTATTTGAGCAGGGGCGATGCCCTGAAGAAGGAGACGAAGCTGCAGATGGAGCTCCGGCGCTTGCAGCCGGCGCAGGCAGTCCTCCGGAGCACCACCAGCACCCAGGTGGCTTTGCGGCATTGGTACTTCGTCTTCTACGTCCTGGGCGAAACCGAGAAGGCCCTGCAAGATGCAGGCTACATGTAGTCTTAGTGCGGACATTTTTGCAGGCGCAGAGACCACTTTGAAAGAACGGCGGGCGCCTGAGCAAAAAAGTAGGCAAGTGCGAATCTCTGCGCGCTGCGGTAGCAGTCTTGCAACTGTTCAAGTCATTGTTGTCTTTGGCCCGACCCGGCCAGGTACAGCCCGCCGACATCTCTGAGGCTTTCGTGGTACTTGTCACGATGTGTTTTTCCAGGTCGCTTGCTTCGACGAACGCGTGTGCAGAACGCCAGGTGCGACCCCGCGACGACGACGAACACGCATACACGTGGTCGCAGCGGACTGTACGTGGCGACGCGACGACGCGGGGACGATGCGGGGACGACGCAGGGACGATGCGGGGACGACGCGGCGACGATGCAACGATGGCGACGTAGCGACGACGCAGCGACGACGACGGGACGACGATGCGACGAAGGCGACGTTGCGACGACGCGGCGACGAGATTAGAGGCCCTTCACCCTCACCTTCTTAGCCTGACCAGGCCCTCAGTAGCCCTAAGATTCACCGCCCTCTCCTGGCACTTCAGAAACGCGAGAGCTTGGAGGGCCTCCCACCAAGCTCCTGCAGCTTCCGATCTCTACGGATGCCGCGGTTACCCCAATGTTACCCCCAATGTTCCCCCCAGAGCCGCGTTACCCCAATGTTACCCCTGAGCCCGCGTTACCCCAAAATGTTACCCCAATGTTACCCCAATGTTACCCCAATGTTACCCCTGAGCCCGCGTTACCCCAATGTTACCCCGGAGCCCCCGTTACCCCAATGTTACCTCTGAGCCGGCGTTACCCCAATGTTACCCCCTGAGCCCGCGTTACCCCAACGTTACCCCCAGAGCCCCCGTTACCCCAATGTTACCCCCAGAGCCCGCGTTACCCCAATGTTACCCTGAGCACGCGTTACCCCTGAGCCTGCGTTATGCCCGAATGTTACCCCCAGAGCCCCGTTACCCCAATGTTACCCCTGAACCGGCGTTACCCCAATGTTACCCCCAAATGTCCTCTGCAGCCCCTGCAGCCAGCACCAGGTCCAGGGCCGCCAGCTCCCAGCCTACAGCCCAGCCCCCTGCAGCCGCCCCACCTACAGCCCCTGCAGCCACTGCAGCCCCTGCAGCCGTGAAGAATTAGCATCATTGGGGTTCCCTGGAAGGCACCAAGTGAAGGCACCTTGCGAAGGCACCTTGCGAAGGCACCTTGCGAAGGCACCTTGCGAAGGCACCAAACCGGGGTTGCGGGAGGGTTCGGCGAGGGCCCAAAATGGTTTGGCGGACCCCCAAAAAGAGGGCTTCCAGGCGGCGGCGGATTCCCCAGGGAGCGGCGGCGGGGCCCCAAAAAAAACCACGAGGTATTCCCCCCCAGGGAGCGGCGGCGGGGCCTCAAAAAAACCACGAGGTATTCCCCCCCAGGGAGCGGCGGCGGGGCCCCAAAAAAAGCCACGTGGTTTCCTTCCCAACAACAGCCAGGAAGGCGGCGGGCCCCATTGGCTCCCCCTACATATCCTATATGTCCTATATGTCCTATATGGGCCCATTGGCTCCCCCTACATATCCTATACGTCCTATATGTCCTATATGGGCCCATTGGCTCCCCCTACATATCCTATACGTCCTATATGTCCTATATAGCTCATATAGGACATATAGCGTGTGTTTTAACGCCCAGTAGGAGCATATAGCACATATAGCTCATATAGCGCGTGGGATGGGAGGGGGTGGGGGCATATAGCACATATAGCTCGTATAGCGTGTGGTGTGGGAGGGGGTGGGATCTGCGACCTCTCTCTTATGCTGTCGTCTCTAGACCCCACCACAGATCGTCGTACTTGGAGCTGATTCAAAACTTGAAGGGTGTTGAGCGTACGGCCTCGGACCAAAACTGAAGAATCGACAGGGCTGAGAGGCCCAGGACGCAACGATCATCGGCCTTTTAGGCCAAAAAATTTGGGAGTGAGGAACTCCAACAGAATGCAGTTCTGAGAGAGTCCGCGGGCTTACGGAAGCCGAAGGCTGGAGTCCCGCGGACTCTCTCAGAACTGCATTCTGTTGGAGTTCCGATTACGAGCAAGTTTTTTGGCCTAAAAGGCCGATGATCGTTGCGTCCTGGGCCTCTCAGCCCTGTCGATTCTTCAGTTTTGGTCCGAGGCCGTACGCTCAACACCCTTCAAGTTTTGAATCAGCTCCAAGTACGACGATCTGTGGTGGGGTCTAGAGACGACAGCATAAGAGAGAGGGGGAGGGGTGGGGAAGGGGTGGGAAGGGGTGGGGAAGGGGTGGGGTGGGGTTTGGTTACGATCATGCTCGTCGAACCATGCTATTTGCAGCGTTTTTGCTTCTTTCAACATGACGCAAAAGGATGTTTAACAAGGGTAGTGGTTTCAAGCTTGAATTTTTAGGGAGTTTCAATGGGCAGCCTGTGGCCCCGGGCTTGGGGTTTTGGAAGTTTGGGGATGAAGCTTCAAATTTCCGACGTTTTTTGTCGAAGTTGTGCATCATCTTTCATGTGCCATGCAGCCCTCCGTACTGCGCTGAACAAGAAAAAGGCGGCCGCTGCAGTCCAGCCTGGCATTGTCACAGAAGCCTACAGCCCCAGCTGCTTGCTACATCTTCAACTCTTATGGTCCAATTGGATGCATGTAAGTCGCAGACTTGGGCCCGTAGAGCTTTGCATGGAATTTGAGTTCGACCGTGTTACCTTGTGTGGACCTGTGCTTCAAGGTGAAGTCCCAATGGTCCATATGTCTATTCACACCCTGCACAGTGTAGATGTGTAGGGTTTGGGCTTTAGGGTATGTACCCCTAAAGCAGTTATTGCAAAAAATGCCACCTTTAAAGGCCTTGGACATGGACCCTTTGCGGAAGAGCGGCTTCGGGCCCAAAACATGCCCAGCCGCCGTGGATCATCTGACTTCTGGGTTTCCTAACATCCTGGACCCTAAACTCAATCCCCGATCCCTTGTCCAGGCACCATCCCTAAACCCTGGACCCTGCACCGGTAGGCGGCTGGCAAGAAAACCTTAACCCCCTAAGTTTGATAGCTGTTTGATAACTGTTTCCTGCAGGGCATCTTGTCCTGCAGGAAACAGTTATCAAACAGCTATTGTCCAGCCATCTGCGTGGAGCTTCAGTTTGCCTGGGAATCTGGCTTGGGGCCTATTTAGGGTTTAGGGGTTTGCGGTTTGGGGTTTACGGGCCTACGGCGGCCAAATATCAGGCTGGTGCCGGGCTCCAGAATCCTAAGATTGTACAGGCTTGATGGATGACCTAAGCTGGTTGAGCCAACAGCGAAAACACTTCCGAGCAGGGTTCATAGCGAGATGCACGTGAGTTTCTGGCATTTCGGTGTTCGTTTCGGTGCTAGGCGCTCCATTAGTTCCACTGGGGGCAGCGAGGGCACCAAGCAGAGCTGTGCTGTCGGAGTCCATTGCGCACACCGGCGGGCAGGTGCATGACGTCACCGCCAGGCAGCTCACTAAAGGCTATCAAGCACGCTAAATGCTTGAGGCCCCCCAAGTAAGTGCATGGCAAGGTTACCTTGCACGTGATCAAAGCAGGGACGCTTGTTCCCAGCTTTCGCGGTGCCTCGCAACTCACAACCTACCGGCTGCCAGCGGCCCCAATGTCTTTGAACACGCTCTCTCGTGTTCTTGTGTTCTCTCTCTCTCTCTCTCTCTCTCTCTCTCTCTCTCTCCTGTGTTCTTGTTCTCTCTTCGTGTTCTTTGTGTTCTTTCTCTTGTCTTCTTGTGTTTTTTTTTCTCTCTCTCTCTCTCTCTCTCTTGTGTTCTTGTTTTCTCTCTCTCGCTCTTGTGTTAACTCTCGCTCTTGTGTTAACTCTCGCTCTTGTGTTCTCTCGGTCTTGTGTTAACTCTCGCTCTTGTGTTCTCTCTTCTTCTTGTGCTCTCGTTTGCTCTTGTGTTCTCAAGTAGAGTGCTTCGCCCCCCCACGCCCGCGGCTAGGGCCGCCTTCTAATACTTTTTTGAGGGGCTTGTGACAAGTGAACGCACACTTTGTTCATTAAACGCATGGTATTTTATCGCATCGTTTCTCGCAACTCGTTCTTTTTTATTCTGTACGTATACCATTAAAATTTCCGTGCCATCTGGGCTCTTGGCTTGTTCATCTGTTCGCTCATTAATAAGCTCGCGCGTGAATAAATGAGTGAACTGGTGAACAAGCAAAAGGGCCTTCAATCACACTATTATCGTGCTTCTCAGACAAAAGTAGGTGCAATGCCAGTTGGTGGGAAGGCTACGGCATGGCTGCAAAGAGCACTTCTTTGAGAGGGTTTGCAAGAGGTACCGAATGATAGCAACGCAATCTAGCAATCCAGCATTCAGGGCCTAAGATCGAAGTAGCGCCAGCGGCGTGCAATGTGATGTGGGTCAAGATCCATGCCAAGCGCGTGTCGTGCCGCGGCGGCAGCATGGTTGCCAGCTTTGCTCCAACAGAGGTCAAACGATGCCCTTTGCAATGACGGTCAATCAAGCATGGAAATTGGTTGTAGGGAACCATCACGCGTAGCACACATTCGCGGTGCATGACAGCTGGGGCCCCAGGGCCTGTGCCATGGCCTCATCACATCGGCGGACCATCCTTTAGCCTTTGAGATGTTTTTTAACCCCAGAGCAGACCAAAAACGCGGCAAAAGCCGCTCCCCGAAACCCACGCATTGAGCCATGGGTGCCGGCAATAGCGCCCCCAAGCCGCTGGCCACGAGCTTTGGGGAGGAAGCCCCCGTGGGCATCTCAGAGGAACCTGTGTTGGAGCTTAGGCGGGTGCTTCCGGTAGCTTGGGCTACAGGATCCGGGGGTTTACATGGGTGTGACGATGGCTCCAGGAAAACATGAGTAGTTTGTCCAATGTTGACTTGCTTCTTGATGCAATGTCAAACATACAGCAGTCACAACGCCGACTTTGTCGGGGGCGGCTTTTTTTGCAGCTGCGTGAGCCCAGCCCCCCAAATCCCGCTCAAGTCCAAGCTGAAGCCTTGTTCTCAATCTGAAACCGAGGGCCGCCGCGGTCCCTCCTTGGGCAGCGTCTTGCTGGAAGGTCCCGAGGCCAAGCTGTGGACCCGTCGCGCCGGACATGTTGTCAGTCTGGGAGCAGCTTTCTTTTGGTGAAGTCCCTGACATCTAAATCCCTCTTTGCGCAGAGCAGTTCCCCTTAGCTTGTAACAGCAAACAAAGTATGCAATGACAGAATGCACACTTGCCTTGAAGCATGCGTCAGGCCAACCGCTACAGGCTGCTCTTGGTGACGCCTCTTAGGATCCAGGCTGGAGACCGTCGAGAAAGCAGGAAACAAGTCCTGAAGTGTCAGGCTGAAGAAGTGTCAGGCCTTTTGACGGTGTTTTGAGTGTGGGCTCTGGCGACCTCGAGCCACCTTTCAATTTTTTTGGGAGCGACGGGTTGAGCCAAATTGAGTCGTTGAGGAACGTTCCTTCTGGCTCACGTCCCAACCTCAAGCTTTCCCTGCCAAGTGCCAGTGACATCCCGCAAGATCCCCTTTGAACCTTCAACTTCGGGTGCGCCATAAGAATTGTAGACTGATGGAGTCTCATGTGCACCAGCTGCCAGCTTTTCGACGGTCACGATGCCAAGCCCGTGGAGCTCGAGGAGGGGCCCCGTTTTCGTTTTTTGGTGGGGGGGGAGGTTTGGTTTCGACTTCTGGCTGTTTGTAAGAGTTGCCAAAAGTTAGCCTGCACAACCACACCACCCAGCAACGAGCCGGCAAGTCCCATGAGACACGCCGAGCGATGCACAGACATTAAATCCCTTCCCCCATTGTCGAGTCCTCAAAAGCATTTTACAAGACTTTCCAAATCCTTCCCACGTCAAAGGTGCATCCTGCCTCAAGAAAGCGAATGCTCGTTGCGGTTGTTGTGGTTGGGGTGTCTTGGGATGGATGTAACGTCTGGGTTTTGGCGTGTTGACTCGCGGCCTGCCATCCGCAGCTTGCGAACAGCAGGGGCTCAAGTCTGGCGACGCACAATTTGTAAACCCAGACCAAACCTTGCCTCCATTTCCGAAGTGGCACCCGATACCATCCCATCCAAACTAAGAGTCCAAATGCAGAGTACAAGTTTGCGGGGTGCTTGCCCTGCTGTTGCGCCGTCGGCATGACCGCGTGCTTCGATGGATTCAGGCCAGGTGGACTTGCACGCGGTTGTTGCTTATAGTTTGGGATGAAGGGATATGAAGGGCTATTGCAGAGATCGTTCAGTAGTAGCAGCAGCAGCCGCAGCCGCAACAGTATTTTTTCGCGATTCAGCTTGCGCACTGGCCCGGACTCAACGGATGGCCTTGAACTTCCATGAGCCTGAGCGAGCTACAAGGGGCATTCATGTGCGCAAGGGTCAGAAGTATTCGGAAGTCGAAACGTGTGCTTCTTCGAAGCAGTCTCGAAGCCAAAGCGCTGCTTATGAGGTGCGAATTCTTATGTGAGTCAATACCCACCTTTCTCTAGAATCCCAAGTCCTCGGCTCCACTTTCGAGCAGGGACCTGCATGCTGGGTGCATTCAAGCAAATGTGCTCAGCAGAAAAAGAAAGCCCGAAATCCGGCTACTTCAAGTCGCCCCAAGAGCTTCAGCAACGCGCAAGGCGGCTGAATACCCGAGTGAGCGAAGGGGCAGATCAAGGCTGGTTTTCTTGGGTAGTCCTTCAGGTTTGGTAGGAACCAAGATAGAACGTGGCGATGCTGTTTTGTCCGAGGAGACTCCAGGTTGATGTCTGCGTGGTGTGTTGCAGCCTTCTTCGATCTGCGTGCATGTAGTCTGGAGATCAAAGAGTTCCGTCGTTAGTTTTTGCGAAACAGGTGAGTCCCGAGCCGATGATACACTGCTGAGTGCGCCGGCAGCAGCTTTAATTCTGGGCTTTGGCTGACGTCGGTCAAGAATTTGTTTCACCGGGAGCTTGAGCATCACAAGTATGCGGGTGTTCTGATCCCGACTGTCATCCGGTTCGCGCATGACTAAGGGCTGGATTTTGGCAAGTTTTGTTTTGTGTTCGCGAGGCAGTGGGCGCAGTGAGTTGAAGCAATTCAGGGCCCTTTGACCGCCTCAACCATTCACTTTGTTTTCTTTCCGCAACCATGCTCGAGAACTCCAGTTCCATTACGTCCAAGGTATTGCTTCTACCAGAAAATTTTTGCGTCGAAGAGGCATATAGATCATATAGCTCTTTTAGATTCAACATTTGGCCGTGCTCTCGAACCCCCACAGCGTAGACACCTACCGAGACGGCACCTCGCAGTAGTAACCTCGATGAGAAGATCATGCGGCAAGTACATCGACTCACACCAAATGTTTTCTTGCTGGAGTTCGGACACCCCAAATCCAAAACCTTCCCAAAGCTCGATGACATGGTGGCCCCTTCCAAGGCAACTCTACCTGCTCTCCTTCAGGACTGTTGGCTCCCGTTTTGCCATGCTTTTCCAGGATTTAGTGTCGGGAGGTTGCAAGAATATCGCTGTGATGGCAGAATCGGATCCAGTGTTCAGAGGTCGCTACAGCACAGCTTACAAGACATATGCTCCTCCTCGGACTGGACTAGCATCCATTGGCTGGTTGAATCCAGTACTTAGTAGTCATGGGAGCAAATCGCATCACCGACATGTCAGAGGCTCCACCCTTCAAACTTGTGGATGTGTAAGGCAAGAAGCGAGCATCTGCAACCACAGATCTGTGCCGTGTTGAATCTGTTGCAAGCCTCGCTGCAAGCACAGGTGACTCAAGCTGCCTTTCCCTCGTTGCGGCTAAGTTGTGTTTCGTCGCCCACACCTGCTCAGTAGCATGAGGTGTGGATGCCGCAGGTGCTTTTTCATCTTTCAGGGCGATCACTTTAGCAAGACATCCACCTCCCGTGACTTCTCGAGCCCAAAAACCGGAAAGGAAGCCCCCCAATGCCTGAACCCTAAACCCATGAATCTTCAGGATGCAACGCAAAGATGGCTTGCATCACCTGCAGCGTCCCGGCAGATCTGGTTCCTGTGCCTCGTGCCCCAATCTTTGACAATTTGAAACATTCTCGGGGTTTCGTGCCTTTCTTCCAGTCTTCTTGTGTGTTGCTTGGGCTTGAGGACATCTTTGCTGCTGCAGCTTCAATTATGAGAGCTAAGGCGAACTCCGCACACAGGCACGGTTGGGAGCGTTCTTAGGTCATGGCATTGACAATCTTGCACATCCCGGCATGGTCCCCTCTTAGGCTGTTTACACGCAGGGCTTCACTGCCCCTCTGTTCTGGCTTTTCGAGGAGGAGATGCCTAGGGGTGTCTGCAGCCCATGCTGGCAACCTGGAGCGCATGCCTTGATGAAGCCTTGTCGAGGTGAAGGAGCTGGAAGATCAGCTCAAGGAGGCCAGTAGCTTGGACTTGTCTCTTCATGCAGCGCGCGTAGTGTGTGATTGTTATGATGACGACTCTTTTTGGGTTGTTATTGTTGTTGTTCAATATCTTAGACGGTTCTATACGCTTGCTGTGTATCATCATGATCATGAGAAGATATGTCTACTAGCCCTTATTCGCATGTTATGTTTCTTGTTTCTTATTCGTTGCTCCTCATTGCTTGGTTCCTATTCTGGTTGCTATTGTTACTATAATTATTACTAGTACTCTGCTGCTACTCCTGCTGCTGCTGCTACTACTACTACTACTACTACTACTACTACTACTATTACTACTACTACTACTACTCCTACTACTACTACTACTACTACTACTACTACTACTACTACTACTACTACTACTACTTCTACTTCTACTTCTACTTCTACTTCTACTTCTACTACTACTAGTACTACTGCTACTACTACTACTACTCCTACTACTACATCTACTTCTATTTCTACTACTACTGCTACTGCTACTACAACTCCTACTACTGCTACTACTACTACTGGTACTACTACTACTACTACTACTACTACTACTACTACTACTACTACTACTACTAACACTACTACTAACACTACTACTACTACTACTACTACTACTACTACTACTACTACTACTACTACTACTACTACTACTACTACTACTCACGTCACTGTCTTGGTTCTTGTGTGCCATCTATGCTTATGTGTTATGTGTTTGCAATTTCTTAGAGGGTGTTTGCATGTAGTTTCAGTTTAGGATGATTATGACTGTTGATGTAATCGCTATTTCTGTTATTTGTTACTGTTCGTGTTCCTGTTGTTATTATTATTGTTATTGTTGTTATTATTCTTAGTAGTAGTAGTAGTAGTTGTAGTAGTGGTAGTAGGTCGTCGTCGTCGTCGTGGTGGTGGTGGTGTTTTGTAATATTTGCAAATTGTAAATTGTTACCTGTTTCTTGTTAGTTTTTTAATTGTTAGTTGTTAGTTGTTAATTGTTCATTGTTAGTTGTTCGTTGTTACTTACTTGCCATTTGTTATTGTTCATCATCCTGTATATTTTTTAAGCTCGCCATTATTGTCTGTTACTACTGTTCACTATCATGTATCTGTCCAAAATCTCTCTAGTATGCTCATGTATGTACTATTGCTATGATACCTCTATGGATCTCCACACCCCAAAAAGAAGTCCTGAAGCCAGGCGATGAAACTCCTGGCCCAGCCGTCGAGCGACCCGACTACCCGCGACGGGGAATGCCTGTGCCTCAGGCTTGCTGCCGACACTCGGTGATTTGCTCAGAGCAGTAGCAGGTTATGGCGGGTCGCAGAAGCCCAAATCCTAAACCCTAAACCCTGAACGATGGTGTTGGGACTCGGTCAGAAAGGGTCGTAGCGCTTCCATTGTGTTTAGGCAAAAGCTTTTGAGTACAACATACAAGTATTTGTAGTATACACACGTACATTGTGTTTTGTGACCATTTGCTTAACAATTCAAGCCCTGGACACTGAGGCGTGGTTTGCATGGCCCAGCCCCGGCGCTATGCATTCACGCCGTGCGGCCACCGTTGTGTGACTTGAATGGGTTCGTGGGAGACTTTCTGTTTCTCAAAAAACGGTCGTGTGTTGAATCACATTGCATGTTTTTTAAGCAGTGCTCCTCAAGTGTCCATCCTCATGTGACTGTATGTTCTCGTTTACTTCGCCTTTCTTTCCTGCCTTGTTCCACCTCTCCAATCAGAAGGGCCAGGGCAACTTGGTGCTAAAAGCCTCCTAGGTCCCGACCCTTTAGCCCCCATTACCAACCTTTTCAGGTATTATACAAGGTACCTCATTCCCTCATTCCCTACGAACCAACAGTAAGTTGAGCCCTCGAGGTGTGCCACTTGTGCGCCGTGTCGGTCTCCCAGTCGGACCGAAGATGTCCGATTTGTCGTGCGAAGGCGGGAAACTCCGTGGGACCATGCAGCCCCGAACGGAGGAGGACCCCAAAAAAGACATGGCCATCCATGCACAGAGCTGCAAAGTATGGGTTACACAGTTACTGGGCCACAAGGGATTCAGAATCCCCAAATTGATTTTTGCGAGGTGGTGCGAATCTTGCGCATCATTGATGCCTGAGACGTATGTTGGCCTGACATCTCTTAGACTTTTTTTATTGAATCCAGCACCGCGGAAATTTTCGTGGGTTCTGCCGGCAGCATATAGGTGTGCTTCATGAACATTGATTCAGCTGGCGTGCCATCCAGAATTCAGCACCTCGCAAAGAAAGAGGCCGCAGATGGTCACGTGTCCCTTTAGTGATTTGAGTGGCCTTTGCCTGTTTTTGGCCACTACGGAAAGTATTCCTACACCCTCAAACCCCAAGCCCGAAACCCGCTTGGTACATCTTGGCACGAAAGAGGAAGCGGGTCCAGGCCTTCCAGCCACTGGTGGCGGCTGTTGGCCCAATGATGCGCAGGAAGGGTAAGTTGGCTAACCGTTTCCCAGCCCCCATCGAGCCACCACAAAGAAGCGAGTGGGGGGGAGCGTTTTCTCGCCGAGTTTCTTGTGTGCATGAGCCCCTTAGCCAGGAATGTGGTGAATGGCATGTAAGGAGCATGCCTGACCTTGGCTCAGGCAAGTTTCCATGATGTGCCGTGCGGCTTGTAGGTTGCTAATGGCGCGAGAACGCTCGTAGAAGTTGCAGCAGGCAGCGTGGTGCACCAGATCAGCCATCGGTTTTTTGTGAAGCCACCAAGATTGTTGCTTGTGTGAAGTGAGCCTGTCATGCCCCCCCTCCCCCACACGCCTCTCTTTTACAGGAGTCTTGGCCACTTGCAACATTCTGCAGCTGCTTGTGTTTTTTACGAGATGCCTGCGGGCTCAGCAAGGTTAGCAGGCTCAGGTGTCGGTACTCCGTAGGCTTCAATTTCAACAGCACTTGAGAGCTGAATGTGACAGCTTGCAAGTATCCTCATTGTGTTCGTCCAAGCCGAAAATTCCGCAGACCCGAAACCTAAGATTCATCGACTTCGCATGTAACTTGCTGTCAACTTGTGCTCCTCGTGCGAGTCGTGAATGAGCTGCGCACCTGCCGTGCTTAGAGTTCAGGGGTGAGGGGTCGGATTCAAGGTCGCAGCCAGGGTCGACAGCAGTAATGTTGATACCAGCTTTAGTCATCCAGCACGGCTTGCATGTTCCAGGACCAAGGCCCCCCTTCGCCCCAACCCCGCACCCCCCCACCCTCCCGGAGCTGAGGGCTTTGGCTGTGTCTCTGTAGCCAATGTGCAAGATGCCATACCCCAGACCCTTGACTCGAGATCATGATTGAATCCGAGAAGTAGCAGCACGTTAGAATTTATTTGGGGTGCAGATCCAGATTGTCGCTGCCCAAAGAACCCCAAAGCTTTGACTGGTGCGCCGCAGACCAATGTCCGCCATGCACGCAGCCTTGTTCGCGAGCTGTCGGTCTGCAGATTGGAACCGGCCAGCGGATGGACAGGGTTGGACAATTAGGACTTCAGAATTGAGTGCTCCGGTGCAGCAGGATGTTGGGGGTTCAAGTTCGTGCGGGGTTTGTTCGGCGTGGACAAGAAGACAGATCGTGAACTCGGACAGCCGGATGCGTACACAGACAACAACAAAGTTGTTGGCAGACCAAGAGCGCCTTTAGCGTGGCAAGAGATACCCATTGCAGTGTCTTGCATCTTGTGCGCTTCGGCATCCGTGTGTGCAAGCTTCCTGCGAACATAAGAGTTGATAAGAGTTGTAAGAGGTGGTAAGCGAAGAGGGAATCGAGGTTGTGCACTCAGACAGTCCGTGCAGCAGATTGTATCGGGTCCGGACTACTGGCCACGTTGCTGCGCAGTTGGCTATCATTCGTGTCAGCATCACCTGAGAAGGCAGAAACTGAGAGTTTTTGCTACTGCGCATCGGAACGCTCTTTCCAGGAATCGGTTGCTGCGGCCGTCAGGACCCTGCAATACCCAGCCACAGACCGCTCAACACTGGCAATGGTTGCAGTAGCTTAGATTGTAAAAGGGCCCGAACGAAGGTTCCCACCCTAAACCCTGATTCCTGAAGCCGCCCAAGCGGCTAAGCGTAGCTTGGGACCTCTTTCAAAGAGGAGCCACTCGCCTCTGACCAGCTTCGCCAGCTCTGCCAGCGGTGCAAGCGAAGCCTCGGGGAGCGGTCGAATGGCCATCGGCTGCCAGGAGAGTTCCCCGTGTGGGCGTTTGACAGAACGGATGTGGGGGATGAGTTTGTCTCTTTTTATTATTAATATTGTTTTTTTTGGGGAGGGGGGGTACCGTTATGAAAGGCAAGCTGGACCGTAGCTCCCGGAAAGCCTTGAGTTTCGATCCCAAACCAGGACGGCGCTGTCCTTGTCTTCAACCTCGAGGTCGGCACAGTACGTGGGCCGCTCCACAACTTTCAAATCGAGGAGGTGCCTTCGCTGCACTTGGCTGCATGGATTCTCAGCATTTATTCACGTTGTGGCCCCGTAGAGCACGGTCTTGGCAGGATGGCCCGGCGAGGGATGCCTCCTCTGCCGACCTGTCGCGAAGCGTGACGGTGCGCTGAACCTAGAAGCCCAAAGCTGCCCAAAGCCGCCCAAAGCCCCAAAAAGGCCCCTCAACGCCAAGCTTGAAAGCCTAAGAGTCTTAGTGTCTCCGCTGCTTGGTTCCCACCCTCGGATTTTTGCTCCCACATTGGGCAGCTCTAGGGTGAGAAGGCTGTTTTTCAAGCTGAGATGGTTTTCGGCTTCGCGCTCGAAGACTATAGAATTGGCAGATCAAGAACCACAAGCCGACACTAGCTAGTGACAGTGCAGCCAGCATTCTATTCTCAACGTTCGCGGAGAGCATCTGATGTGTCAGGGCACGTTGTTTCGCAGCAGAGGCATGCAGACCAAATGCCCCAAAGCAGAGGGGATTCAGGTGATTAGACCCAGCACGACGGGGTTCAGTCGGTGCTCCCTTCTCCAGGCCCTGCACTTGCATGAGGGCCTCCTCTTTGCTGGTAGCTGTGGTCGCTGTACATGCGGGGCGCTGAGCACGGCTTCCGAACTCCTCCTTGTTGCAGCAAAAGCCTGAACCTGAGAACTCGCAGAGAAACAAAAACTGTCTCCCAGGCTGGGCGTTGGCCGATAGCGAGCTTCAACGTGAGTTCCATCTTCCAGGCGCAGTCCGATGATGCAAAGGAGACGTCCGGCTGTGTACGGTGTGCTTGTGGTCCTTTGGGACTTGCTGTGCCGCCCCTTATTTTTCGGGCCGAGGCAGACAGACGTCACGGTCTGATTGAATGGTGAAACAATATGAAACAGGGAACCTCAGCAATTGGTGACCGAAATCGATTGTATCCGCCCCGTCTTTTGTCGTCATCTTGGCAACAAGAATGGATTCCCGACTCCTGCAATGATGTAAAGCATTCGTAAAGCAAGTTTGTACCAATAGTGTTGCAAGGCGGTCTCGTGGTATCGTTCTGCGATGGGGGGTGCAGCTTCAACATTGCTTTCTTCCGCAATGTTTCAATATCCAACCGCTTGCTGTGAACAGCAACCGAGGCTGCATGTTTTTTTTTTTTTCACGTGCTTCCTCAGGGTATCCATTGTGTATATGGTGCTGGAAATGGGAAATGGAAGCCATAAGTTTTTTGCCTTGCAGCCTACAGACTTGCGTCAGCTGTGTTTTTTCGTGCCGTCTCATCTCCAGAAAAAACTCAAACTTCGGGTACAGCATGGCAACGTGCAGTTGCAGTTTCGAGTCCAGGCTCGTGGAAGCAATGGCCGCGCAGAACAAACAGCGTCCTCACATCAGTGCAAGTCACAAGTTGTTATGAGCACTCTTGGGACTGCGCATCACGTGTTTATCTGCTGTTCTTTGAAACTCATACTGGTATACTTTCGAAGCAAAAACTGTGGCAACTTGCGCTTGCCCGGAGTCTGACAGGAGTTTCATATTATGGGCTGAACTTGCGATCAACGAGAATCTGCGAGCTGATGAACGCAAGCATCAGAAAAAGAAACTTAGACTTTAGCGCAAGCACGATCGTTCCACAAAACGCGGCGACAGCAGGCAGGGGGTGGTTGCAGTGGTTGCAGTGGTTGGAGGTGGACGGAGGATCGGCAAGGGACTCTGAGTGATGCCTATCCTGGACCTTGCGAGCGATGTGAAGCGGAGCCGAGTATCTCTTTTTCGCACATGTTTGTCCTCATGAGGCTGTGGGTGGGGGATGCTCGCAGTATAGTTTTTTTCAAGAACCCCCCAACACGAGCTTGTTTTTTCGTTCAGGATCAGGGTGTCCCTCAAAGCCCCACATGCCCAGAACCTCGAACCACCCCAACCAGGCAGCGAGGAGCAGCCAGCGACGGCGAGCTCGCTCGTGGTGGTCCCGCAGGCGTGAGGGTTCTCGAGTTGTTTGGTTTCAGGACTCAAGATGTTTCGGTTTGCTTTGGCTTCGCTCGTTGCGCTGGGGTTAAACTGTCTTTGAGGTTATGGAAGAGGTAAAGATTGGGTTGCACTAGCTGTTGAGGAGTCTGGGCAGACGTGAAAGATTTAACTGCTGTGAGCGATCTATGCGCGGTTGAGGCGGTTTGAATCATCGCGAATCTGTACGTCATCGGTTTGTGCAGGAATATGTGTATATATATATATGTACATATAATCAGATATACATACATACATGTACAGACATGACAGGGATACGGCACGCCATACATGAAGACATGGGAGCCATATTGGTGCAGGGATGAGTCGACTTGCAGGGATGCAGGATGCTGGATTCAGATTTCATTGGGTGCAGCTCAATCTTAAGCGTACGAGGGTTTTAATGCGCGGCTCCTGCAATTTCAACCATGTGTTGAGGGCTCTGACAACATCGGAGGAGTCTGTGCGACAGCTGTGGGTGGGTCTGGACAATGGCCTGCTAGTCGTGTTCGATGTGGAGACCGGCTGGGCACTCAGAGTGACAGTTGGAACTGCTGCTCACTCGAGAGAAAGTTGCCAGCTCAAAACGCTGGCACGGCACCTTGCAGACACATGTGGTCATGACTTTTTCTGGTCCGAGTGGCCGATGCATTCAGGCACCAGTTTGACTGAAGGAGAGCTCGAATGGCCGTATGTTTGGCAAAGACTTTCTCACGACCACACGGTACCCCAAGCACAGTGAGTACTGACTCTGCTAGTATTGTGGGCAAGCTTCCATGGCTGGTTCCTGATTGGGTCTGATCGCGCTTGAGGAATCCTGAAGAAGAGGCACCTGAGCCAACCTGAGCCAACCTGAGCCAACCTGAGCCACGCCCCAGGCATGCTGGTCAGGAGCTTCTCTTGCTGTGGGCCGGAGGCACCTGGAGGGCTTTGCTTTGCGAGAGGCTTCGCTGAGCCTCCGGCCTCGGATTCTTAGGTGGCAGAAAGCGCCAAAGGTAGCTTTCCTTGCAGTGCTCTCCGGCGAAGTACATTCCACTCTTATTCAAGACCCTTGAACTTTCAAATCCTTCAAATCCCCCAAAGCTCTTAGCCAGATGGTGTCGGCGCTGGCCTTCTGCGAGAAGACCTCCGCTGTGTTCGCCCTGTCGGCCCATAAGCCAGGGCCCATGCACCGTAGGGCACTGATGAAGTGGTGTGGGACCCAGGGTGTGGATGCAGAAGAACCCCCCAGACCCGCAGGGCTACGATCCATGGGATGCGATACCAGTAGGCGGATGATGACTTTATGTTCTTCAAGCCAAGCTGCAGAAATAGGCCTTCTACCTTGCCCTGTATATGCCACTGACCTATTTCTGTTGAGCCTTTGCTTTTGTTTGCCTCTGTGTTTTTTGGTGCTTTCCTCATCGTGGGCCAAGGCCAAGGCTACCCCTTGTGAGCCAAACCAAGAATCGGCGCATGAAGAAGACTCAGCTACATAAACCCCAAACCCTAGCAGAGTATAGTAGTGCGCTCTCGCATGACACACCCCAAGCCTAGCAAAAACAGTACCAAGAAAGGGACAACACAAATCTCCAGTGCGGGATGCCGAAGTGCAGGTGCCTTGTCGATTCTCACTCGAAGGTGCACTTGTTCGTTCGATTGTCGCTCGTCGGTGCACTCGCTTGTTTTTGTCTTCAAGAGTCCTAAGGCCCATGGCCCAAAAAGCCTGAACTTCAATGCCTTAACGCAAATCCAAGAGCCCTATATGCGCCATCATAAAGCCCCAAACCCCAAGACGCACACCCCCAAGCCAAGAAAAGTTAAGGCCTTAGAGCTGAATGCGGAGCTTCCAAGTCGTGAAGTGAGGAGTTCGCAGTAGGGGTCCTTTAGAAGCCACGTAAGATTGTACAGCCGCTTGTTTTTTGATGGGTTGTTTAACGTGCGTTCCCTCCATGTCCCAGGCGCGTGAGCATCTGGGACTCCAAAAGCTTCGCTTGCCTACAAAAATACCCTGCCGAGCTAATGACGCCAGGGCCTTGCAAAGTGAGATGCGGGTGTTGCTTGGGACTTGGGGCGGTTCAGGCTTATGTTGCCCAAGGGGCCCAAGATCCTTCATGCCGTTGTCTTGATGGAGAGCACTATGACTATGCCAGCCTTCGGATTCTTGTGAATGCGTCAGCGGTGGCTGTGCAGACGGGTATACGATGGCATCCCTAAACCCCAAACCCTTATTGGCACTACAACTTGTCAGGTGCGGGGCGGACCTCAGCGCCATGGGGGCCTTCGACGTGCCCGACGGAGATCTCCAACAAGCAAATTGGGGCCGTGGTGGTGGTGGTGGTGGTGGGGGGACCGGCTTGCAAAAAGAGTCAAAGCAGCCAAGAGCTGCGGTACTTCGCATCATGCAGGCCAAGGGGGTTCTTTGATGGATTTGTTGCGGTCAGGTACCCAAGCTGTCGCTTTCGCTCCTCGTCCTTGCTGCCTGGAGCCCCAGATGCCAAATGTGAGTGGCTGGTGGTTAAGAGGTTGTGGGAGTAGTTCCTGAGAAAGTCCTCACTCCGCAATCGGTTGTCATCGGACACGTAGAATCACATACTCCACCCTTCACCCCAAGAAGCATCTATATTGAGAGCATGCATCCTGGTTGGGTTAACGCCATCCGCATTGCTCAGTCTTCTGCACCGCGCTGTGGCATGTCCATCGGAGTAAACCAAAGATTCAAAACGCGAGTTGCAGCATCATCGGTGGAAGAGAGTTTGCCCAGCTTGTCTTAGTAGGACTGCGCAGTCGCATGGTTGTCTTCGTGTCAGGGCGTTGATGGCTCCCTTTGCCTGCGACGGATCACCCGACGTACAGACAGGTCCTGCAGTTGGTGTTATGTTTGGTGGACGATGTTCCTACTTGCGGCAGTCCCTCCTCCATGTCGGGGACGCATGGTGCTTGTAGCACTAGTTGGACTAAGTTTTCTCAAAGTTGCAAAGTAGAGTGTGTGCGAGTGTTCGATGGCTTCACCTAGTCGGTCAAACATCTTCCAACCTCTACATCCCTGTAAACCCTTGCCATGCGCCGAAACGAGCGAAGCCTCCGAATGCGCAGTAAGCTGAACTGCATCCTCCTCTGGTACCGTGGCGATGCTGGTGGGGAGCTGGTGGGCGACTCAGTGTTTGTCTGCTTTTGGTCGGGCCTTGGAGAGATTGAGAACGGACAGCAAACCAGGTCACGTGAGCGCCAGGTCAATGGCGCTTTCGTGGCGCTCGAATGTGCTTATTTTTTCGTCAAAACCTGATTTGTTCTACAAAATATGGGTTTTAGAAGGCTTGTAAAATTCGTACATTTTAGAGAAGTTGGTTGTTTTTACCGTGGAGGAGTGGTCTTAATGCATCTACACGAACAGACATGAATGCTTGTGATAGTCCTTTTTCATTCTGTTGTGCAAAGAGGCAAAAGCGCTGCAAATACCAGTGGTTCTGGGCATGGTCGCCGTAGGCACGGATGTTATCAGAACCGCCCCCTTCCCCCATCCCGCCCACCCCAGCCCCCCATCCCCCTCCCCCTACCTTGCCATAACGAGAAAAAAGCCCATGACCCAGAAACAAAAAGGTTAATAAACAGCGACCTAGCGCACGCCACCTAGCTAACACCCCACACCTGCAAGCGCATCCCATGCAAGCGAGTCGCTGTAGAGCCGAACACGTCTTCCAGGGTTGCCCCGTTACGGCGCTCAACTTCCACGAGGGGACGGAGACGGTCCTGCTGGGTGATGCGGCACGCCAAAGGGCTTGTCAGTTGGATTTGCTAAAGGGATGCCTACGGATGCCCACGGTGGGCTGGAGGAGTTCCACTTCTGAAGTTTGTAGTCCAGGGTTTTGTGGCTTTGTCATGAAGGAACGGACTGCCCACACAGCTTGAAATTCAACGGACGTCGCGCCCACACAGCCGGGCCAACAGTTGGGAATCGGACCTCGTATTACGGCAGCAAGACTTCCTAGCACCCTGCTGGCAAGCCGAAAATCGTGCACACCCAGATCGGCCAAGCCTTAGCGACTCAACCCAAGGCTATCTCCATGCATTTCTCCTTGCGTGCTTCAGATCTTAAGGTCAGATCAGGACCAGAGCATCTCCTAGTTTGGAAAGTTCATATTGCAGTGCTACAATCCGCAACCACCTGAAATCAAATCTCTCATTAGCCCAAGCATGTCATTTTCTCCGACTAGGGTTGCCGCGTCCAGCTCCAAAACATCCGGGAGCACGTGACGTCGGCGGTGAGTCTGCCGCGATTTTTCTGGAGTATTCGTTGTTGTTTACAATTCTTTCTGTGTTTCCGGAACTTCAGGTGTAGCTCGAGGGCAGCTCTGGGTCACCTGTTGTCGCCGAGGTGCACTATTTAACCGAAGCCAGCGAACCTCTTCCCCCCCTCCCCTGGTGCAATGCAAAGTGTTACAAAGTGTCGAGGCCTCGGCCTGTTGACTTGAGGCTTGCGGCTTAGGGTGTAGAAGGGCTTTAAGAGGTGGGCCTAAAGGCTTGACGGTAACGGCCCTGGTCCGGTGGTCCTGTTTCTAAAGCTTGCACGAGTGGAGCCCGGCTAGTGCTTCACAATCAATGTTGTAATCCGATGGACCGGACTGACCGGACCTGCAAGTTTTGGGAATCAGCATATTGCGACAAAGGGTTCCGGCTCACTGCGTGGAGATCGGTGCCGCCCAAGGGTTCGAGGGAGTGGCTGACGGATTGAGTGAGAAGAACGCGGCGCATCAAGGCAAGAAGAGCTGCTTTTCACTGCAGGGCCTGGCTTTTGAGGATGCCCCCAGTTTCAAGTCTCCAAAATCCCAGAGCCAGGCCGAGCTGATGCAGCCGAGCCTGGTGAAGCGCACCGAGGGATCGGAGGCGCTCCGGGGTTGGTCCGGTTTATCTTCTTCCTCGGGTCCGATGGGATGAGTTGGTGATGTACCGCAACTACCTGAATGCAGCACAATGCTACCCCCTGATTGGATCATGCAAAGGCAGCGCCAACATGAATTGTAGACACGGCGCGTGAGGAGAGCTTGGGTGGCCTGGTCAGCGCAACACAGGCTCAGCTCGAGTTGAAGGGTTGGAAAATACGGGAGGCGCCTCCCGAATGAGCGCGAATCCACAGATTCGTGTAGTTGGCTCTGGGATCGTGAAGCTGTCGAAGCTGCCTGCGACACAATCTGCCATATGATCTGATTCGGTCATGTGCTTGTTTCATTACAACATCGGGGCAGGGCACGACTGAGCCCTCACCGTCGCATAGTGATGGCTGGGACTCCCAGATGCTACTCCGAAGTTCAGATAAGTCAATGCGTCCTTTCTTGGTCCCAGTTCGTGGTTTTCTTGAGAGCTTGCCTACGGCAGCCTGGGCATGTCTGGTTTAGCGATCCTTAGTCCTTCGGTTGTCGTTGAATCCGGGTCCTGAAGGGAGGGGTGTCCACGAGGGGGAGGATTTCAAGGAGGCTTAGGGAAGCTTTAACCTTCCCCCCCCTTGAGTCTTGTAATTCAGAAGAGTTGCATTCCAGAGGGCTGTTCCACTATGTTCCACTCATTCATTGGAGGGATAAACTTTGCTGCCGAAGCCGCAGCATGACGCTGCAGTTCGGGACGGCTCACTCGGATCGCCGCCTCAAGTCCCACCTGTGCTCCTGAGCCCCAAAGCCTTGGCCCTCTCGAGGCCCGCCACTGCCACCTCCAGCGGACTCTCCCCCCGAGGCAGTTCAGTGAAACTTCAAGTTGGCCCTTGGGCTCGGACGTGGGTGCAGAGTTTCTCATGTGGGAAGCCATTGCAATGGAGGGTGGCTTTGAATACCAGTGTGGGCGCTGTTGCATGCGTCACTTTCTGCTCTTCTGGAGCCCGGACTTTTCAGGGCTGGGGTCTTTGAAAGGGCTCGATGGTGCAGCTTCTTGGGTCGCGTACTTCGGGTACATGCAGTATACGATGGTATGAGATGAGACCGTGCCCACAAGCTCGAGACTCTAGAGGGAAAAGAAATTTCAACGTGCAGTTGGAAGCTGGGTTGTGCATGTTTCGCCGATGGATGAAGACTGGGGATTCACGAAATCCGTGCCATTTCGAGTCGGATGGCTTCTCCGGTCTGGCAAAATACCCCTGCAATAGCTCCGGTTGTTCTCAGAGGTCAGCCCAGCCTCGGCTGGTGCACCAGAGGAGGGCAAAGCTGAGGAGCCTCCTCAGGATCCTCAGGGCTAGAGAGGGCAGGCGGTAGGGGGATCAACAGGGTAAAAAGAGTTCGAGAGAGGGAGTCCTGAATCGGACTTGGATTCGGGCTTTGGACGCTGGATGCGCTGGATGCCGTCTGCCAAGTGGGGCTCGGTAGCTGTCTTGCTTGAAGGGTTTCCGGAACACCGATGCACGCTTGAAGCCCGGATCAGAATTCGGGGTAAGCGGGAACGCCGGAGGGGTCTTCCACCGGGTGATCCCAGCCGAAGGGCCGAAGATAGCAACAAAAGGCGGTAGTATACACAGTGGCCAAAACTGGAGACACCTTCAAGCCAGGATGCATCCCCCGAGCCTTCCCAAGCCTTTCCAACACCGAAAAGCTCCAGGACCCCAGCGATGAGAAGCCTCAGACGCGAGATGGCTATCCGGGGGAGACCACGAACTCTGCCGCCTTCCCAGCTGCACGGCTGCAGCTAGATGATGGGTGCTAACACAAACACGAGGTTTGGGCAGTCACAAAGAACGCGGCGTTTAGGCAGGAATACGGCGGGGATTCAGGGTGTGACCTAAAGCAGGCAAGGTCCTTGAAGGTTGCTTGTCAGGGCAAAGCGGCCACGCGCTTTTATGGAGTTCTGGAAAAAGCATGATGTGTGTTGAGATGTGTTGAGGCATCCCTAGGTCAGCGAGGGTGTGACAACACCAACATCCCTACGGTCACTTCGCTTTTGCAAGGTGTTCAACGGCTGACGGCTTCTGATGGACTCTGCTCAGAACCCTGGAGACCTTACACTTTTTGCGCCCCGGAATCCGAAAGTTTGGAAAGGTGAACCCCCTTAAAGCCCTAAAGCCGATAATGCTTAGAGTTTAGGTTTCAGGGCTTTTGAGACCTTCAGATTTTTAGCTGGGGCTTTCAGACAGGGTCTTTCAGGAAACCTGTACAGTACAGTCTTTTGGAATGGCGGTGCCTGTGGGCTCTGGAACTTGGCCCCCTATCGAAGATCATGCGTATGCCGTGCAGACTCCGTGCAGGTTATGCGGTTTCACCTGCTCGCTTGCGTGTACCCGAGCGCAAGCTGCGCAACCCCATTTGTTGAGTTGCTTTGAGAGCTCATCTAGCTCTCGGCCGAATTTTAGACGCGGGCCCGAAAAGCGTGCCGTTGTTTCGTGCTTGTTCTCCGGAATCATCTTACTCGGAATCTAATGTTACACACGACCTCACCACTTGTCTCTTGTATTCCCTATCCATCTCCCTCTCTCTCTCTCACTCTCTTTCTCTCTCTGTCTCTCTTATTTCTTTCTTTTTTTCTGTCTTTCTCGCTCGCTCTCTGTCTCTCTCTTTTTTTCCCTCTCTCTCCCTCTCTTTCTCTTCCTTCCTCTGCCCCAGTGCGTCTCGACTCCCTTGTCCCTGTGCGTGCGAGGACATATTCTGAAGCAACCAAGCTACAGTTCATTCTTTGCATTCCCTTTGGGGGTAGAGGGGCATCCTTTTGCCCTTCCAGAGGTTGGAAGAGGCATACATTTCTCTCGCATCTACATGGCATCAGGGAATTGAGCGACGAGTTGGCCGTCGTTGTTCGGAATGTTGTTGTGGAATGTGTCGGGACTGTGAATGCGAACCAACTTCGTGAAGGTCAGCAATCCCCACATGTAACATTGTTCCGTTTGTTTTTTCGAGTTCAAGTCTTACACGAAAGAAGGGCGCTCACCCCCATAAGACATGCAGAGAGGCCCTTGGTAGCTCGACATGCACTTCTAGCACCTGCAAATCTTCTCGACCTCAGCCAGAAATCCAGCAAAGTTTTGGGCGCACGGAAGTTTGAGTGTTGCTCGACATTGGGTTTGCCTTCTAGTAGTGAGCCTGCTTCGTGCCGCCAGAAGGTCGGGCAAGCGGCTGCTTAGTCTGCTTAGGACTTTGAGAATCGTGGACCGCCATGGAGTCTTCACGGGGGAGGCTGGAGGCAGTCGCTCTTCAGAGCCTTCCTGGTTCACAGAGCTTGAGTGTTTCTGGTTTCTGGCAGCTCATGTGACAATTGCAGAGGTCGGAAGCGACCTAAATCAACGGTCGGGCTGCATTTGTAGGAGTCCTTGGGGGGATTCTGCTGGATGCGCTATGCCTTCCAAAGATTGCGACGTGCGGAGCCTCTGCAAAGCCTCTGCTTCCGCCATGCATCCCACAGCTTAAAGGCATTGGCAGCACAAGCCCTCATTATGCCTCCAACTGACAAGGGAACCTCTTAGTTGCCAGGGCCAATCTACACTTCAGATTCCTACACTTTCTGCCAGGAGGGCAGTTTGCGCCCCCCCCCCCCCACACACAGCAGAAAACAAGCCTTTGGACATTCTCGCAGTCCTTTGAAGTGTCTAGGAGTCTGAAAGCAGTTTGAAGGAAGTGGTCTTCGAGACGCCGGACCCGCCGCAGCGAGCCGCATACCTGAGATCCCCTGTCACTGTCATTGCCGGGGTTACTCAACTGACCGAGTCTTACATACCAATACATGGGTTCCCTGCTTCGCAGAAGACAGTGGCGGCGGAAGGGGATTGAGGGAGATCAAATCTGCAAACCGTGAAGTGCCACGACCTCACCCGCCGTGACCCCTCCGATTCTTGGGACCTAGGCGGCTCACACCACTTCGTCGAAGGCAGGTCAGGGGATGAGATGTCGTTAAAGGTTTCTGCTTTCGGCTGTGCTCCAAAGCCCTCGTGGCAATGATGCTCGTGGCAATGATGATGCAACGCAGATGTCTCGGAACTTGTAAACCTTTGTTACCACCGTGCTCACGGACCCTGAACCCGTTCGAGACTTTTGGCTCAGGTGGCCCAGCCCGGCTCGCCCACCAAGGTGGATGCTGGGTTCAAGTTCAGGGCGCAGGGTTTCGGGCTCGAGCACAGGGGGAAGGAAATGCGGGCAGCCCACCCCCAAAGCACCACATCCCCCGACATCTACTCTCGCGAGGCTCACGGCCAGGAGGCTGCGCGGTTTTGTACTTCTGCAATCTTCTGCAGAAGCCACAAGGGGACGTTGCTTTGGCAGGTAGATGGACAGATGGGTACATAACCTAGCTCCATGTTGGCAAACTATGCATTATGGATGGGGTTTTCGGAGCATGAGCTCGGACGGATTGCGCAGGCAAGTCATAGCCGTTAACCCTAGGACAAGATGTGTACAGGTTCGTGGTCCTCACTAAGTCTTTGTCCGCAACAGAGCTAGCGACCATCTGACCTAACCTTCGAAGCTCGAAGGCTCTGAGAGGTTCAACCCGTGGCATCCCGTAAGCCGGAAACCTAAACAGGGTATCGACAACTCGACGCTGCCCGTGCAAGCAGCCTTCAGCTCCTTTGCCGACAAAGAGGCAACTCAGCAATCTGCAGGTTCTCCCTTGCCAGAAATATGCAGAAGCATGCATAGTGCATCGCAATGCGGATGAAGGCTGTGCTGATCTGTGCTGTGTCCCATGCATGTCAATGTATGGTCGTCAGCAGCACGAGACCTGTTGGAAAGTAGCAAGTGCCGGGAAAGGCTGCACGGGTGCCCGGCAGCCCTGCGGGTGCCAGATCAGAAAACCGCCTGATCCCCTCCCCAACGTACCACGAGGCGTATGGTCCTGTGACCCCCGTACATCCTCAACGTTCTGCTGTCGCAGCATGACAACTAAGAGGCAGATTATGTTCAGGATCCACACGCAGATTAGGCAGAGACAGATTAGACAGAGCGCGTTCAGTGGAGCTGTGCTTCTTTGAGCACACGCGATGATGCGCTGACGCTGCAGCTGAGGCTGGTCAGGAAGTAGTCAGCTGAAGCCCAGCGAGCCGCGAATCCTGAAGAGCGACCCCAGAAGATGCCTCTCAAAAAAGTCCTGTTAGGCGGGTTCTTCCCGTGGGCCCTAGATCGCCCGAGTATTTACCTCTCGGACTTTGCCATGCTCGTATCTGTCCAAGTCCGCGACGATGGAGCTTGAAGCATCTCTCTGGCCTGGAACTGTCAGCATGATAGTACAAGTGCCAGTATATGTCATAGCTTCTTGCATTGATTTGTATTCATGCCAACGACACGCAGAAGGCATCATGGCATCCTAATCCATCCTGTGGCAATGCTGGTTTGGGCCGAGCCTGTGGGTAAGCTGTCCAACAATGCAGCGCAACATTCAGGGAGCAGCTGGAGCTTCGCAGGCTCCGGACAGATTAGCCTCGGAGTGGGCTTCCGAAATAGAGTCCTTGGTGAAGGAAGCGGATGGACTGGCTCTGTGCATGACTTTCTTCGAAAGCTCCAAAGCCATGGGGCGGCGGGAAGCGCAGACAAGGCTTCGCGAGATTCTGCTCCAGCCGACAAAGAAGGATGGCGAGAAATGCAAAGCGCAGTATGTTCTGTCCTTGCTGCGATGTCTGCGCATCGGCATGCAGGAATTGCCAGCGAAGCTGCAGAAGCTTGGGTACAGCATCCGCTGTAGCACGCAATGTGCCAATGAGCTGCAATTGAAACTGCGTGGGCCGGTGAGTGAGGCCTGCCGAGAGTTCCTCCAGACCATGCGCTACCAGGCTCTTCCAATATAAGCCTTTGGCCCTTTTGCTTCTGGGGGGTCTCCTTATGCAGACTGAACACAAGGAAAGAGTGCCCTCATTGCCAATGGCTTGGTGGGGATTCTTCACCCACTGGCTTAATGGCTTGGTGGGAACCTTCACCCTTACAGAACCCATAGAGACCCCCTGTAGGACCCTTCTAAAACCCCACATAGAACCCTTCAAAAAGAGCCCTTCAAGCAAGGAACCCTGAACTTATGGGGAACCGAGGCTCTGAGCAGGTGGATCTGGGAGAGTTGGTGTCATCGGCTCCGAGGTGGGTGATGTGGGGGCTGCTCGATCCCCCAGCCTTGGTGACCAGGCGCCGATCAGGCCCCCCTTGAAGGAACCCTTAAGGGAGCCCCAACAGGAACCCTTATGGGAGCGTTTCTTAAGTTTCCCGTCTTGGCATAAGCAGCTTAGTATAAAATCACAGCTCTTGATTTGGGGGCTTATGACGTCGACACCTAGGTGAGATTGCCAGAGGACTTCGCTTGCCTGGAGAGTGTGTTAAAGGACCCGAGGGAATGGAGCAGTGGTTTTGGCTCCAGCTTCACCCAAAGGCTTCGCTGGTTGAAGGCCTTGCAGGCACAGTTTGCAGAACCGGAGGCGCAGCATTGCTATCAGAGGCTTGTGGACATCTTCGTGGCTTGCCTCGCATCTGCTTTCGCTCAAGGGCACAAGTTGAGAAGAAAGATGATGCCAGAGGCTGAGCTGCTCCAAGAGGTACGGCAGCTCCTCCTCAACGAGGGTGAGCTCCCCCAGGATCTGAAGGCCCGACTTCTAGAGATGCCTCAAGAAAGCCCTGCAAAAAGCATGGACTTGTCCTGCTTCCCGGCTCTTCAGATGCCAGCGAGTGCCTCGTGTACTTGGGTTGACACGGCTGAAGCATGGGGCGCGGTGCTACCGAGGCTCTACAAGGCCGAAGTTGCGGGCATTGACACAGAGTGGTGGGACATTGGCAAGGGTCCAGTGCTCGTGCAAGTCGCGGTGGGTAACGGCCTTGAAGGTGCCGAGTGCTTCTTGATCGATACTCTCTCGGGACCGCCTCTGCTGGCTGAGTGCTTGCTCCAGTGGTTGCAAACCTCCCATTTGCAGTTGCTCGGCTGGTCGTTCAGGGAAGACAGGAAACGCTTGGCTGAGCTGGACCATTGGGTGAAGGCCACAATTCCTGCAGAGGACAAACGTTGGGTGCGAGACATCAAGATGGAAGCCATAAGGATCCATGACTTGCAGCTCGCTCTTCAAAAGGTGATGAAGACGTCAAATCAGCCCTCTCTCTCTTCCGCTGCGGCTCATCTGCTTGGACATCGGTTGGACAAGACTGAACAGTGCAGTGATTGGCGCTGCAGACCATTGAGCGAAGCGCAGCAAACCTACGCTGCTCTGGATGCGGCGGTCCTGCTTGAGATACACAAGGAGCTGCAGCGACACGGTGCTTGATTCTCGGAGGTTGGCACGCCCAAATATCTCCGTGCTGCCGCTGTTGCAACCAAAAAAAGTCGCTCGCATGGCCAAGGTCCTCCTTTTCTCGTCTGGACCTCGAAGGGCCCCCGGAGTAGTCAGAGGTCGCGGGGGATCGGCTCTGGATGGTTGTCCGTGACGACCTCACAAGGATCCTTGAAGCAGGCCAAGCAGCCTGCAGGCGCATCCAGCATGCATGACCGGAGGCTGACGGTGCAGGTGTGGCATCCAGCGGCAGGATTGCCGGTTTCGTCGGCGTGGACAGCTTATACAAGGCATTCAAAGATGTGAAGTTGTGCATAGGGGACGTGGTGGTTTTACGTGCCATGGGTCTTTTTCCGTTCTGGACACAAAAGTCGTCTGGGCTTATTTGGCCTGAGTCGTGCGCACAACCCAGACAAGAAACTCAGGGTTCCCGTGGTTTTGGGGTTCAGGGTTGAGGGGTAGGGCTTGGGGGTGTTAGACGCCCTGTGTCCGAGTGTCTGAGCTGTCGCCGATATCCTGAAGCCGGCACTTCCACACCCTGACTTGAAGTTGCAACACCTCTAAAACCAAAACTCTAAACCCTAAACCCTACACCCTGACTTGAGAATCCCAACAGCGCGGCACCCCTGTACTTTCAAGCCCGGAGGCCCCCCCACATCCTGCGCAGGCCATGGAAGCGCTGCCTCGGCTGATCTACGAGCGGCGGAAGCGACCGAAGGAGGCCGAGGCTGGGTTAGTCCTTTCTTCTTTCGGAGGCCACAAAACCCGGGGGGGGGGGGGGGGTAAAGGTCCTTCTTGGGAAATTATTTCGGGTTCCTATGGGTTGAAAAGCGAAGCATAGGGTCATTTTTGGGAACAGGTTCCATGACCAACTGCCACATCGGAAAGATCTCCCGGCTTCAAAGTTGAATCAATACACTTGGAGAAAGTGTCGGGATCCCAGAGGAACCCTTGAAGAAGCCGATGAGACTACGGCTTTGGTCTCGATACTTGTTTAGGCCTTCTAAGCCGTGCCGAGGTGAAGTGCTTCCCGCAGGTTGAGGAGTTTCTCCGAGCGAAGGCGGGGGGGGGGAGGGGCGGGGGACGGGAGCGTGATTTTTGTTTTTAGTGTGGGTTCTCTGTTGACGCCCGCTGAACCTCGGGTAAGCTGCATTGCTCGTCATGTCAACTTCGTTCGAGGTGCAGGCAAACCCCCAGCCGTGTCTTGGAATCGGCAAGCGTCTTCCCTGAGCAGGAGGTGGTATGCCAGCGCGTGCGCTTGCAGCGCACGTTCCTCCACCTTCATCAGGTCCTTGCTTCGGGGCGGCTAGTGGACGGATCGGGGTCGACGATAATCTTTCTGCTTCGAGGCTTGGACGTTTGGGGGCATCTGTGTAGGATTCAGGATGCAATGTGTAGATATTTGCCATTAAAGCTGCCACTTTTGCAACGAGATCCACGAACCCATTCATGTGTCTTGGAGGCCCACACCGCAAAATAAAACGAAAAAACCCTCCTGCAAGGTGCTTTGTTTGCTGAGTTTATTGCCTGTTTAGATCTTGGTTTACGGGAAGGCGTTGTCGTTGCGGAGCTTCCGCGAAGTGGAGGCCTCCCAGCTCCTAACGATTCCTAACGTGCCCCCTAGGTCTCTGTTGCTTGCCTTAGTGTGAGCCTTGGTGAGCCCGATCTTGGCAGGATGTAGGCCCTGCCAAGAAGAAGCGGAGGCCCCCTGCTGGTGGGAATTTGGGGGGCTTTTGGAGGAGCCGTTGAGTGTCAGGGGCTGCAACGTTTCTCCTCCTGTGCTGACCCGAATGCTTCACTGAACCCTCACCCCCTCAAAGTGGAAGTTCCAAGAAAGCCAAGGATGGCAAACTCAACATCTTTCGGGCACCCCCAAGCCTTAGCCGCGTCGCCTAGACGCTCTTCAATGCTTGACCCTAAACCTGTCCCAACTCGCAGGAAGGAGGCACCGGAGGCGTCATCCGAAGAGGCTCGCTGGCTGCTCATGGCTTCAGGAAGGTTCCTGGCTGATGCATGCGATGCTACTGGGCCCAGAAAGGCTTGTGGCTGATGCCTGCCACGCTCGCTGGCCGCATCCTTGTTGCCAGAAAGCTTTCTGGCTAAGGGCCTGTGATGCTCGCTGGCTGCGTCCTTGCTGTCTGGAGCGGATTCTGCCTGATGCCTGTGATGCTCACTGGCAGGGTCCTTGTTGCTAGAGAGGTTCTGCCTGAGCCTGTGATGCTCGCGGGCCGCAAGAGACGCACAGATCTGTGCAATGCGGGGATCACATTCTTGCATACGGCCCATGCAAAGACGCCCCATGACGCACACAATGCGACACGCGCATGTCGTGCCGCGTCGTGCCCTG